AGACAATGGAAAAGCTCCAAATTATCAGCCAAAACAAAGTCAGGGGCAGACTGTAACAGACCATAAATTCCTCATAGGCAACTTCAGGCTGAAGCAAAAGAAAATTAAAATAAGTCCACTGTAGCCCAAATATAACCTTGAACATGTGCCACCTGAATTTAGAGGTCATTTCAAGAACAGATTTTATGGATTAGGTACTAACAACCAAAGACCAGACAAGTTGTGGTTGTTAGTGCAAAAGGTTACTAAAAGACAAGAAAGAAAAGATCAAAATGGATGCCAGAAGAGAATCTGAAACTTGTTCTCCAGCATAGAAGTGTTAAAATAAATGGAAGAAATGAGGTAAAAAAGCTGAACAGATCATTTCTAAGGGCAGCATGAGAAGCTAGAGCCAAATATTATAACAAAATATGCAAAGACCTGGACTTAGAAAACTGAAACGGAAGAACATGATCATCATTTCTCAGGCTGAAAGAACTGTAGAAAAAATTTAAGCCTCTACTTGCAGTATTGAAGGATTCCCTGGCATGGCACTGTAGGGTAAAGAACTGGACTGCACCGTCAGTTTGAATCATAAAGTTGGTGGTTCAAACTTATCATCCACTTCTTAGAAACCTTATGAGCAGGGACCGATTGACCTGATGGCCCTTAACAACAACATGGGCAAAATAACTGAATCATACGGAAAACATCAAAAGAACATGGGAGGAACACACAGAGTCACTGTACCAAAAAGAAAGGGTCGATGTTCAACCATTTCCCGAGGTAGCTTATGACCAAAGGCTAATGTTACTGAAGAAAGAAGTCTAAAAAGGTGCACTGAAAGAACTGGCAAAGAACAAGGCACCAGGAATTAATGGAATACACATTGAAACCTTTCAACAAACTGATGCAGCACTGGAGGCACTCATCCATCTATGCCAAGAAATGTCAGCTACCTGACCAACCGATAGGAAGAAATACATACTTATGCCCATCCCAAAGAGAGGTGACCCAGTGGAATGCAGAAATCATGAGATATCCCCAATATCACATGCCGGTAAAATTTTGCTAAAGATACTCAAAAACAGCTGCAACAGTACATTGACAGGGAACTGCCAAAGGTTCAAGCCAAATTCAGACAAGGATGTGAACAAGGAATATCATTGCTAACGTCAGATGGATCTTGGCTGATAGTAGAGAATACCAGAAAGATGTTTATATGTGCTTTATTGATCCCGCAAAGGCTTTTCTTTCGGTTTTGTGGATCATGACAAGCTATGGAAAACATTGAGGAGAATGAGTATTCCAGAACACTTATTTGTGCTCATGAAGAACTGTACATAGACCAAGACGCAGTTGTTCAAACAAAACAAGGAACACTAAATGGTTTCAAATTAGGAAAGGCGTGTCACCAGGATTGTATTCTTTCACCATACTTAGTCAATCTGTATGCTGAGCTAATAATCTGAGAAGCTGGACTATATGAAGGAGAATATGGCATCAGGATTGGAAGAAGATTCATTAACAGCCTGTACTGTGCAGATGATACAGTTTTGTTTGCTGAAAGTGAAGAGGACTTGAAATTCTTACTGATGAAGATCAAAGACCACAGTCTTCGGTATGTGTTGCACCTCAATGTAAAGGAAATAAAATCCTCACCACTGGAGCAATAAATAGCATCAAGATAAATGGAGACAAGATTCAAGTTGTCAAAGACTTCATTTTACTTAGATCTACTCTACTGTCAATACTTATGGAAGAGGCAACCAAGAAATCAAATGATATATTGCATTAGGCAAATCTTCATAAGACCTCTTTTTTTAAGTGTTCAAGAGCAAAATGTACCAGTTTAAGGACTAAGGTGCACCTGACCCAAGCCATAGTCTTTTCAATAGCTTCATATCTATGTGAAAATTAGGTTCATAAAGAAAGACCATAGAAGATTTGATGCATTTTAATTATTGTGTTGAAAGAGAATATTAAAACTATGATGGACTGCTAGAAGAATAAAATCTGTGTTGGAAGAAATACAGCCATAATGCTCTTTAGAAGACAGGATGGCCAGATATCGTGTCTCGTACTTGGGACCTGTTATCAGGAGGAATCAGTCTCTGGAGAAAGACATCATACTTGGTAAAGTAAAGGCTTAGTAAAAATAGAGGAAAATCCCCAAAAACATGGATCGGCACAGTGGCAGCAGCAATGGACTCAAGTGTAGCAATGATTGTGAGGTTGACACAGGACCAGGCAGTGTTTTGTTTTGTTGTGGATAGGGGGCTATGAGTTGGAACCGACGTGATGGCACCTAACAACATCAATAACAGCCATTTTAGGAGGTAACATATGATCAAGAATTCATGATACTGAAGGCAGAAGTCCAAGTTACACTAAAGACATTGATGAAAAACAGGATTCCAAGAATTGATGAATACCACAACAAGCTGATGCAACACTGGAAGCACTCTCTTGTCTTAGGCTGGGTTCTCTCGAGAAGCAAAACTGGTGAAGCTTAGAAATGACTATGTATAGATAGGTTAATCTCCAGGCTCACACAGTTTTAGAGCCTGGCAAGTCCTGAGTCTGTAGGTCAGATGTCAGGCTGGAGGCTTCTCCTGACTCATGTAGTTATGGACAGCAGGTCGGAAACCAGGCTGCTGGCCCACAGTCTTGAAGGGTGGTGAGTCCAGCATCAGCAGCTAAGGTGTCAGGCTAGTGGCACACAGACTGCAGAGGCTACTGAATCTCAAGACCCATGCCGCTGGCACAAGTCGCAAGTACTAGTGGTCAGATGATGAGAGCCAGATCTAGAATCTAAGGAAAGCAAAAGGCTTTGCCAGAGCATTCATATATTTTTAATGTAGGCTACATTCCTAAGGCGATTCCTTTTCAGCTGATTGGTTGTTCATAGCAGAGCTCATGGAGGTGAGTATATTACACACGTATCAGATTTCATCATAAGTGATGAATACATCATTTATAACCAATAAACTAAGATATAATGGCCAACCCAGAGAATCATGGCCCAACCACAACCGTAACCATCATGCTCACTCATCTATGCCAAGAAATTTGGAGGACAGGTACCTGGCCAACCAAAACCATAAACGTCCTAATTCCAAGAAAGATGATCCAATGGAATGTGGAAATTGTTGAACGATGTCATATCATATGCCAGTAAAATTATTTTTAAGACAATTAAAGAATGGTTGTTTTGTACATTGACAGGGAACTGCCAGAAATTTAAGCCAAATTCAGAAGAGAACTTGAAATGAGGAATCATTGCTCATGTCATATGGATCTTGGCTGAAAGCTGAGACTACCAAAAAGATGCTTACTTATATTTATTGACTAAGTAAAGATAGTCGACTATGGATCATAACAAACTATGGATAGCATTGTGAAGGATGGGAATTTCAGAACATGTAATGACTGTACCAAGAGGCAGTCATTCAAACAAAGTATATTGAATGCGTTAAATTTAGGAAAGTTGTGTGTCAGGGCTTATGTCCTTTACTACATTTATTCAACCTGTATGCTCAGCAAATAACCTGGGAGGCTGGATTATATGAAGACGAATGAGACATCAGGATTGGAGGAAGACTCATTAACAACCTGTGATATGCAGATGATAACAACCTTGCTGGCTGAAAGCAAAAAGAGGACTTGAAGCACTTAATGATGATGATCAAAGAATATAGACTTAAATATGGATTAATTGGATCCACAATCAGTGTCTTTGGCAATAGTAGTCGAGAAATCCAACAGCATGTTGCATTAGGCAAATCTGTTTCAAAAGACTTCTTTAAAGTGTAAATGATAACTACTTTGAGGACTGTCCTGTGCCTGACTCAAACTATGGTATTTGGTTCACCTCATGTGTATGAGAAAGCTGGACAATGACTAAGGAAAACCAAAGAAGAATTGATGCATTTGAATTACAGTGTTGGTGAAGAATATTGAAAGTATCATGGATTGCTAAAAGAACACACAAAATCTGTCTTGGAAGAAGTACAGCCAGATGTTCCTTGGAAGCAAGAATGGAGAGAGTTTATCTCAACAAATCTGGGCCTTTTGTCAGGAGATACCAATCTCTATAGAAAGGCATCATGCTTAGTAAAAGCGGGTCAGTGAAAAAGAAGCTCCTCAACTAGATGGATTGGCACACTGCCTGTAATAGCCCAAACATAACTCCTATTGTGGGAATGGCACAATACTGGGCAGTGTTTCTGTTATACATGTTCATGAGGTTGTATGAGTGGGAACTGTCTTGATGGCCTAACAGTATCAGGTCCAGTGTCATACTTTGTAAGTGAAGAAACTTGAGATGTGGACCACCTGTGTTTTTGTCTTGTTAGTGGTAGGGCAGAAACTAGAAACATGGTCTTCTAATTCTTAGACTTCACTGAGCCTACAAAAGTAAAGATAGATGTCAGGCATGGCTTGATTGTTGCCTCCATGTATATGAGGGGTGCCCTCCACCCAAAGAGAGAAATTATTTTCTTATAATTAAGACTAACTGTCTGCCAAGAACCAAAAAGAAGTATCAGTTTGCCTTGGCCAAAGACTAACAGTTGCTTTACCTCTGAAGCTTTTCAGAAAGAATAAGTAACCACCAACTGGATAATTTAGATTAAGAACCTGATTAGATGTTGTTTTATGATTTCTATACTTTAATGAGTTTTATGGATAAAAATTAGCTTTAAATATTATCAGAATTTCCATTCATAAGTTGTTAAGTGCCTTGGAGTTGGTTCCGACTCACAGAGATCCTATATAAGGTTTCCGAGAAGTGGCTTGTCGGTTTTAACCTTGTGGTTAGCAGTCCGTGCTTACCCTACTTCACCACACCAGGACTCTTACCATTAGGAGAGTAATTGTTAATACTACTAGAAAAATGAGTTCAGATTGAGTATTTTAGCATCGTTGTGTGTGTACATTTGGAAGAGCACCATTATCTTCCTTTCATATATCTGGATAATGGAGATTAGTAATTTACTTACTTGTTTATTTTAACCCAGCCCTGGCAAATGGAACATTATGTATTCTTGAACCTGTTATGGCCGTGGAAGTTATAGCTCCTAGTCAATTTCAGGGAGCAGTGATTGCAGGAATTAACCGGCGTCATGGAGTAATCACAGGCCAGGATGGAATTGAGGACTATTTTACGTTGTATGCAGATGTAAGTACTGTTTTTTACTTGCTCTTATTAACTGAGGAAATAAAAATTTAAAGGAAATCAGAGTTATCTTTTATTTTTGGAAATTGTAGAACAAATTGCCACATTTCCCTATTGATGAGTATATGTGTGGCAATTTCTAAATGTAGTTTGGTCTTAGAAAAACTGCTTAAATACAAAAACTAAAATATGATTCATTTCAGGTAGACCTTCGGTGAATATGGGTGTTTTTTAGATGCATGATTATCTTTCTTATTATAGCTTTATTTGTATAGTCGCTTAATTTATGAACACAGTGTCTCTAATTTACTGGGATTTATAAAGCCTCCTAGAAGACACCTACTTGCACTGTATCACTGAGGTGTCATAGGACAGTTTGTGTACACATTTTCACAGGAAAACACTTCTGAATGCTTGAACAGGGGCCAGAGAGAGGTGTGGGGATGAAGAGGAAGGCTGGTCGGTGGTGTTGTGTTAACCCAAGTCTGTGGGACAGCAAGATGTGGAACTGTCAAATACAATTCTTCTCAAACTAGGGTTTCCACTTGGATTTAAAAATGAAAATAGTTTCTCTTTGACTTAATTTTTTAACCACTAGTAGTTAGTTGTAACCTAAATAAATCTAAAGGAATTAAATGGCTCAGGTATCTTTGTCTTTTACTCATGCCCAGGATTAGACATTGTTTCGTTTTGCTGTGCATGGGGTCACTGTGAGTCGGTTCTGACTTGATAGCACCTGACAACAACAACATATTTCAACAATCAAAGTTAAAACGCTTGTTGTGCTCATTTCCAGGTTCCTCTAAATGATATGTTTGGTTATTCCACTGAACTTAGGTCATGCACAGAGGTAAGCAAGTGTTGCAACTTTATTGTAGTACTTTTTACAAGACCTCTTTGTGAAATGATCACAATGTGAAATCCTTTCTTTTTAACTCCTAGGGTAAAGGAGAATATACGATGGAGTACTGCAGATATCAGCCATGTTCACCATCCACTCAAGAAGATCTCATTAACAAATATTTGGAAGCTACAGGTCAACTTCCAGATAGAAAGGGAAAAGCCAAGAACTAACTTTCCTCACTTAGAGTTGACTGTCAAACTTTAACTGATTCTTCAAGGTTTTGGTACTGTGATGAATTCCAGTGGAATGGATTTAGGCTTCTGAAACAAAGGGTTATAGAAGCCCTTCTGTGGACTTCTAGTTCAGTCAGAGAGAATTCTGTCCATAATATGTCCACTCTACTAATTTGTTTTATAGTTTATTGAAAAATATAAAATAAGGCTTCTGACATATATTTTGTATTTAGGAAGTAAGAGACTAATTACGGTTTTCCTTCTAATCTTAGAATGTGTATAAAATTCTCAGTTTTCTGTCATAGGAATTTTCAGTTTACAGAAATGCTGAAAAAATAGTACAAAGAATGTTCATATAGCTTCCATCCAGATTCGACAAATAATTTAAAAAATAGTAATTTGTGCTATCATAATCATTTGTTTTTCCACATTTGCTTTACCTATTTATCTTTTAGCTAGGTATTTGTCTCATACTTCTATGCATTTTTTTTTTTTTTTTCTGAACTTTTAAAAGGAAATTTATGTACCATGACACTTATTGGAGCATTTTTGGTTTTAAGAGCTGTATGATCATAATGTGAAGTGTTTTTCAGATTCTTCATTGGGATTTTAAAGTAGTGATTAAAATTATTTTATATTATATACAGCTGATGACTTCAGTTTATGGATTCTGCAATTCACTTAGCTACCTGTTGCAACACCATGAGAAGTGAGAAACAGACCCTTGCATATGAGATGCGTGAATGTTTTTATCTGAATGTTTCTGCAGCCTTAAGTAATAGAACCTTGTATTATAAAGTTGCTTCCCAGTCAATTTCACTTACATAATAAATGTGTAGTATTGTCTATAATACTGTATTCATGGAGATTGTGGAAGAACAAGTGTTAAGAATAATTTGGGCTTTTTTTTTTTAATTGGGCTTTTCTAGGCAGTTCTACTATATTGTTTGGAATTGCCTCATCCAAAGATTATCTGATGACACAGACATATCCTAGTCTTTCCCCTTAGTGGATCTGAGAAATAAAATAACTGACTTTAAATACTTTTGGTTTTCTTGATTTATAGAGTTGACTCGGTGTTTTAAGATTTCTAGAAAAAATAATTCCATACTTGTTTTTAAGGCATTTTGTTATCTTATTTAATCCTCACAACCCTGTGAAATAAATACTGTTATTATGTGAATTTTTCCGTCAAGGAAGTGAAGGTACAAAAAGGGCAAGTAGCTTGTTGTTGTTAAGTGCCATCAAGTCAGTTCCAGCCCATAATGACCCTGTACAGGGTTTATCTTGACCCAACAACCTTGCAGTTCAAGCAGCTTTGCATTCTGGTGCATTAACCCATAGCACCACACTTGTCTTAAGACCACACAATTTGTTAAGTTTTCATATTGAAACTTTAGTTATGATTATTCATCAAACCAAGTACATTTCTCCCATGATTACAATTGTTCTTCAAAAAGTTAGTGGCAAAATGGAATTAAAAGATAAAAATTAAAAACACTAACTTTATTTCTCAACATAAGCTCCATCAAGTTCAAGACTTTTGTAAGGCAAGGTCCCAGCCATCCGTAAAGAACTTAAGAGTCCTGGGAACTTAACCATGTCAGTGTACTCTTTTTTATGTTATCAACTGACTGAAAATGGGTGCTCTTTAAATTTTTTTGAGATTGGGATACAAAAAACTCAGAAGGAGCCAAGTCAAGACTGTAAGGTGGGTGCCTAATGATTCCCCATGGGAACTCTGACAAAACTGCCCTTGTTTGATGAGAGGAACGAACAGGAATATTGCCATGGTGATCAAGGACTCTCTGGGGAAACTTTTCTGGTTGTTTTTCTGCTAAAGCTTTGGCTAACTTTCTCAAAACTCTCTCTCAATAGCAGATGTTGTTGGTCTTTGGCACTGTAGAAAGTCAATAAGCAAAATGCCTTGAGCATCCCAAAACTGTTGTCATGACCTTTGCTTTTGCTCTGACTGGACCATTTCGGCCTCTTGGAAACATTGCTTTGATTGTGCTTTGTCTTGTTGTGGAGCATGAAATTGGAAGGCTTTTTGCCTACGAACAACTCTAGCCTAACAGAGCTTAGTTGTAACCTGTGTCTAGGTTTAAGTGTTCAGATACCAATTTTTCTTGAGTACCCCATGTACCTCTGACAGCTAAACTGCCAGAATTAGAAACAGAGTATATTTAAAAGTGAGTTTGGGACCATTTCCCTTTTAAGGTTCTATTTTTCTAGATCTAAGAAACCATTTTTTCTCCTAAATTGTCCAACTAATGGGTTTAGATTTATAATTTAGATCAAAATGTGTATTGATAAACCTAACAAGATTATGGGCTCTTGGTGTGGTGCTGTAGAATAAGCACTGTGAACCTCAAGGTTTGTGACTCAAACCTACCAGCAACTCCTCAGAAATCCTGTATAGGGTCACTATGGGTCAAAATCGACCCAATGGCACTTAGCAACAACAAAAAACAAGATTATAACAACCATGAACTGAAAAAGGGTTAATTTCACATTATGATTTTGTAGAGTAAAATGACAGTATTCTTGATAAGTGTCTTCTAGAAAACAGTTTTATATTTTAGTAAGTGTTTCTGTATTCATATTTACATACAACCTTAGGTTTACAATATGTAAAGGTTGTTACTAGTTACTATTTAAATATAGACAAAGCCTCATGATAATTTGTTCTTGGTACCAGGTTCTTTCAGATTTTGGTTTTGTGGCTAGTGTTGGAGTTTTTGCTCTGCTCTTTTGCAACTTTGAGTCTTAACAAAGAATTGATGCCTAGAGGCCATTTTAATGTGAACTGTCAACCTGAGGGGCTACTGAGCGAGACACTTTTACTCTTGCCGGGAGCCAGCCCCGGCAAATTTATTTCAAGGATTTTTCCGAAAGGGGGTGCGGCGGGTGCGGCGTCGGCGATAAGAATTACATGGAGTCAGTAAGTCATGATGAATTTAAAATCTTATTACATGCTTTATTTTTCTCTCATTCTTTACTGTCCTGCTCTTTCTTGACTCCCCTGCTCATCTCTTCTGATTCTTTTCTCCCTTCCCTTGCTCCTGCTTTCATTCCCCTCCTGCCTTTTTAATCCCCTTCCATTTCTTTACTCCCCCCTCTCCTGCTTTCCCTCTCTATTCTTCTTCTTACATGCTTTTTTATCCTTCCTTATTCCTTCTTCTTCTCCTTCATTCTCTTTCTCTATTCTCCTTCTCCCCTCCTGCTTTATTCTTCTGCCATTCTTTTTACTTCTCCACTACTCCCTACACTACTCCTCTACATTACTCCTTTCTTTTTCCTTCCCCCACTACTTCCTTTATTCTCTACATTCCTTCTACTTCTATACATTACTCCTCCTAATCTTTTTCCTTCTTCACTCCTTCTCTTATTCTATCTTACAACCCCCTTATATGCCGTTAAAAAAAAACATTGCTTTCATAGTAATCAATGTCTTCAAAATACAATCTATTCTGAGGCACATTCTTCATGGTTTACAACCCTTAGATTTACAACAAAGATGAGAAGTTACAGACATCAAGGCATACTGAGACATCTTGGTGCCTTGAAACCTTTTAGTTAAACATTTGTTCCTACATAAATCTATTCTTTTCTCTGAGAAGCAAGTTAACCTTCACATATGTTTCTTAACCTTTATCTATTGAGTCTTGTTAATTTTAGTTGTTAGGTGCAATTAACTCTCCGTTAACTTCTTCCATACACTATCTGTTTATAGCCTACAAAAATATCACTTATCAGAACATTTACAAAACTGAGGCTATGAAAAGCAAATTATTACTGATCAGACTTCTTATTTATGTAACTGTAGATTCTCATAGCCCTTATCTATAGTCTAATTGTTTTTAGGAATTCTTGTACCCACAGCCCTTATTTATGGCCTGGTTGCTTTTAGGGATTCTTTATTGCCTTAAACTAAGGCTACAAGGAAGAATGTTTATAATCACTAAACCTAAGCTGGTAGTAATTCAACTGGCAAATCCTGTCTCATAGTAGTTTTAAGAACATTGTTAATATAAATATTAAAACTACCTATGATTACAAGTAGAATAAAATATAGCTAATATATGGCTTCTAACTTTTAATAAAAATATACTAAAGTGTTGTTGTTGTTGTTATGTGCCATCGAGTCGGTTCCGACCCATAGCGACCCTGTATAGGGTTTCCGAGGGTGTTGTAAATCTTTACGGGAGTAGAAAGCCTCATCTTTCTCCCGTGGAGCAGCTGGTAGTTTCGAGAGTCAAAATCCAAAGTAATACTAATAAAATCATGAATAAATCAGAGAATGATTCAACAAGAGAAAATTTAACTAGGGGTTTGTTCATAAAAATAATTCTTTGTGGCTCTGCCATCCAAAGAAAATAATTCATTGTTGCTTTGCAAAAACAATGAATTCTTCTATGCGCAGGGTCCTCGTCGTCTCATTTATTTATTTTAATTCCTCAATATGTCTCAGTTTATTCATTTTAATTCGTTAATTATTATGGCTCCTGCCATGCTCTGAATTGTCCGATTGTTTACTTTTATCCGAGTTTGTTACTCTTTAAAAAAGGGTTCAGTCTGTTTAGAGTAACAGACTCTGGTAAAAGTAAGTCAATACTAGCACTCAGAGCAGTATTAGTAATCATTTTATTTAATCTACAAAACAGTATTATATACTTGATCATGATCCAACTGCCCCCCTTATTACACATTTTGATTTCAGATCCTCGAGATCCAACTTTAGTCTTCTTTTTTTCTTTTCAGGGAAGCAATTAGTTCCTCCAATATGGTTTTGCACTACAAAAGTGATCAAAGAATTTTGATGGAAATTCATGATCAGAGGAGGGAAAATTGTATGTGGGGGTATACACGCAAGTTGTTTTTTGTCATTACATGTTTCTGAAAAGATGACTCATAACTTAGTAGAATAGAGCAGTGTGACCACAGAAAGTACACTTAAAAATGTTTTAATGGATTCCTTATAGCACAAAATGCAC